ATGTAAGGGATCACTTTCTGAACGTGTTTCAATTTGATCACTTATCTGACTCTCTTCTTCGATTATTACTTGCAATACATCGTCCAAACCCGGGAAATCAGTGGACTCACATTCTGCCTTGCTTTCATCATTGCGGGATTTCTTCTTCTCCTTACGTTTCCTCTTCTTGGATTTATGCTTCTTCTTTGCGCTGATATCCGCTTTATTCACTAAACTCGAAACCTGCGTTACAGACGCGGAGTCTCTGTTGCGCTGGGAAGAGCCAATCACTTTATTACTTTCTGTCGAGTTTACTGAAGAAAGCATCGAGGGCAATTGGCTAACGGCATTGCTTGAATTGCCACCGAAGTCGATTACCAAGCGGCCATCATCGGATTCGAGATCACTTGCTGAATTCTGAGAACGGGTTGCATCCTTTTCCATTTTTTCAATTTCATTTTCGGAATCAACTTCAGCAAGGGCATCACAGTCGATTACCAAGCGGCCATCATCAGAGTCGAGCTCATTCGCTGAACAATTGTGCGAGCTGACTGTGTGGTTCTCCGTTCTTTCAGTTTCATTTTCGGAATCAACTTCAGTAAGGGCATTACAGCCTGCTGGCTCCCAGTCCATTCCTTCTTCATCTGACGACGAAAATGTACAGATAACGTCATCACTTGCAGCTGGGGTATTCTCAACGCATACCCTTTGAGAAGAATTACTGTTGGTAACAGTCTCGGTACCCATATTTGCAGGCGCCCATTTTGACAAAGGAGCTACCGAATGGCTCTCCTCCATTTCCTCAGCTAATACTGCTGGCACCAAGTTCGAGGACAGGGCTGAAGAAGTGCCGTGTTGTTTATCCACTGCTGGGGTGTCACTTAAACGTACTGAGCCGGAGGGGACTGGGGAAGAATCAACTTGAACCTCTTCAGGCAGGTCCATATTCACTGCAGTCTTTTTTGGACCTTCATGCGAGTTTGCAGCGTTAATTGAGGGCAAGGAAGTCGTAGATTCTTCAACGTTTCTTAAACTGGCAGTGTTGCTCTGAGAAGCAGTACGGTCGTGGACATTATTTGCATTCACAGTGTTGATACCAGTCTTGTTCTGAGCAAGGCGTGACGACTTTCTCCTCCTTGACCCTGCTTCCGAGGTGTGAGTGTCTGAACTTTCAGAAAGCGAAGACGAACGATATCCACTTAGTTTTTTGGCCAGAGAAACGGGTCTTCTTTTCTTTTTTGATTTTTTCTAGGGAAATAAGCACAGCACAACCAAGTTACTATAGTGAGACAATCGATAACCATAAGGTGAAGTCCTATATTACAAAAACCACGATAACTAAGATACTTTCTAATATACTACTATTTATTTATTTATTTATTTATTTAATCACTTCCACTAAATGGTGCAGAACACACAACTGAGCGGGGCCCCAATTTGAGTGTGTCCTTAAAGATAAACCACCCATCCGAGGATAGGTTGGCCACACTACCGGGGTCCACGTCCCCTACTCTTTTCGAACGGTGGTGTGGGTTCTTTCACGTCCCACAAAAACCAGAGAAAAGCAAGTGCTGTGAGACCAGACCTACGGTTTTTTCATCTTATCCGAGAAGACCAGCGGTCTAACCGTTTTAAGTATTGTGCATGCATCTACTACAGTACTAAAATGACCTTTTCTGTTGCCCACGTTGCCCATGTTGCCGGACATTCACGTGGTTTGCATAGTAGTTACAAGTCGTAGTATAGAGTACTAAAGTGATGACGTCATAAAAACGAAATTTCTGAAATTATGGGATTTGTCAGGATATTCTGAAAGAACAATGTCCAAGAGGCCTACTTACCAAAAATGAGCATTTCGGGGCAAATTGTCTCTGAGATATTATCCGGTAAAACTCAAAAAACTCCATACAAACCCTTCTAATTTTTTTTTGGGTCGACCCAAAAAAAATTTAGAAGGGTTTGTATGGAGTTTTCTAAGCATAACTGGGCTACGATCTCAGGGACAATTTGCCCAGAAATGCTCATTTTTGGCAGATAGGCCTCTTGGGCATTGTTCTTTCAGAATATCCTGACAAATCCCATAATTTCAGAAATTTCATTTTTATGACGTCACACTTTAGTACTCTATTGAAAAGGCTAGATCAAACAACTATTTGCATTTTCAGCACTTGTCATTTCTACACTTAAATATCATGGAAAAGAACTACACTGACGGAGAAACAAAAATACCAGTAAGCAAATATACAGGTCTTAAAACGAAGAAGGTAAGCAACAACGATAAACTGCATGTACTTAGGTTCAAATACACGAAGTATATAATTATAACGACAAACCATTATTATAAAATTACCAATGTACCTTTTGTGCTGATTGACCTCGTGAAGGTGCTTTAAGATTAATTTTGTTTTGAGAATGGAGAATCATGTGCTGTTTGAGAGAAACCTGTGGAACAAGATTTGACTTTTAGTAGAGGTACAAAATTAATGTACATGTATTGCATTCCTAGGGCTTGCAATTAGGTCGTCCCGGTTCGCCACGGGAATGCAAGCACATGATCAAAAAATTTTTCTTTCTTAAGTCGGCATTATTGATTACCTCTAGGTACTTGTAGTTCACACGTATGTTTCCTCGTGTCTGTACAGACATATACAGTTGTGTAGGTTGTTTACAAAATGCGTGATACGGGTCATAAACGGTGTACTTAGGGGTCATAAACATATTCAAATAGTCTTTTCCGGCATTCCGCTCCAGTGAGCAGACATAAAGAAACAAGACCCTCATAATGAGAGTACACTGGGCTACCGGCTGCGCGATAGTCTAGCAGTTTACAAAGAGTGATGATAATTACACTCTTTCCGGCTTGAGTGCAAAGCTACCCAGGGATAAGGACATATTCTTATTTGAAGTTACAGGGTATGTGATTGTCTAGGATAAATAAGTCCTGAATCAGTGACTATTTTAACTCCATGCAAGTCTGTTTGTTAATATCTGAAATGACTATCCCCCCACTAAATGTCAAATGATCGTCCCCATCGCAGGGGGGACAGGGCACGCGACGCCTTCCGGGTTACGCATCCACCATTTTGTCGTTGTTCGACATACACACTTCTCAGATTTTTCATGATGCTTTGCCACAGGCAATCCAGTTATGAGGTCGTGGCGTGGAAGGACACTTATACAAATCACTGGAGACCTTTAGATTCGAGGACGAGAATGAGTACGAGTACGAGATTTGATTTAAAGTTTTTCGCGTATTGTCAAAAAATAGACACCCAGGAATTCTTCATTGTTCTTTCTTTCGCCAGAAAAGTTAGCACTGTTATCGTTATTGAAGGAGGTTAAGACCTCTGCCGATTGCAAAATGCTAAAACTTCTAACATTTGATAACTTGTTCCCCCCACTACGACACTCTCGCTAAAACTCGTAGTTGAATATCGACGGCTACCACGTTTTCCGGGAAAAATGACGCTGCCTCACGCGCGAGCACTACTTACAATTAAGAAAATCTCGTACTCGTAGTCGTTCTCGTCTTAGAATCTAAAGCTTTCTATTGTACAGTGGAACCCCGCCTTACGGCCACCTCGGTAATACGGTCACCTCGCGATTATGGTCACTTTTTTGGGCCCGGCAAAACGGCCATACATTTCCTTACAAAAAAAACCCGTAATTGTTATTTTGCAGACAAATTCTATGTAGGAAGCGAAAACAAGACAAAAATCTTCTCTCTTTTTCTTTTTCCCTGAACTTATATGTAGTCCTTTAGAATTCATCTCCAGAAAAACTCGGCAATATTTAACTGAGACAGAAAAAGAGCGATTAAGTTTGAAACAGCGCGAATTCACTTTTTACGTGACGTTTTCGCAGCCGTGGCCTTGGCCGTGGTCGTTGTTGCTTAAGCTCCATATCAAAAGCAATGATAACTACAGGAAAACACTTAGCTGACTCTAGTATACTGCACCTTGTGAGCGAATCCTTTGTCACAACCCTCCACTGTGCAAAGATATGGTTTATTCCCCTCGTGGTAAGCTTTGATATGAACTCTGAGATTAAATGCCTGAGAAAGAAACAATTTGTGATACCATCAGTACATAAGTCTGCCTAATAGAGACCGGATCAGGTAACCGACCACCTACCTCTCCCCTAAGCTACAATTTTGCCTTAAGTGACATGTAAGTGCTAATGTTGACTTAGGGGAGGAGTACCAAGACACCTCAATTGATCCTGAACACAAGCGTAGGAGGTAGAGTGTTGACCATTTTGGAGAGGTAACTGTTGCGGTGAGGTTCGACCGAGTTTAGATGTACGACAAACTCTACAACTACGTCTCGTGTGCTATCCAAAGCCTAAGTAGAAGTTTGACTGTCTGCATAATAACAATCACGACCAATTTATATGGAGAAAACTTGTCCCTGATAGAAGGGTCTCTCATCTACCCGAGCTATTGAACCTGGCGAGCCAACCTTGCCTACAATTCCTTTCAAAAAATGGCAAACCATTTACATTAGATACCAAAAGTTGGCTCGGCAAGAGGCCCCAGCCGGGTCAAAGCGGTCAAGGCGAGACAATCACAGCATACGTTTGCGCTGTTCTCAGCTTTTTTGGCTCGGACAAAGGGGTCAACTGTTTTCAAATAGAGTGGTTTTCGTTTGAGTGTCGTAAAACCAAAACCAAAGTAATTACTCTGGCCAATCACATAGGACACAGACAATACATTGAACCAATCAAAACTCGAAGTAATTACATGTGGCTGACGCAAAGCGCGGGAAAATGCATGCGAGCGCGTCACAATTGGCTTTGGTTTTACTTCTGATTGGATGAAAAGGTGGCGCGAATCTTTTAAGCCAATCGCATCGTGTAGAAAGTGCAAAACCAATTACTTTTCGACACTCAAATGAAAACCGCTCTAAACAGCTATTTCGAGAAAGGTTGTCGGAAAAAATGTGCACGCCACAATCCCAAAAGGTAATATGGGATATGATCAATACACTGTTCCTGAGACTGTAGCTGTCGAACTTACTTCTGTTGCTTTCCTTTAGCAAACGCAAACGTAAGTCCATGGTCTCTCGTGCCATTGTTGCAAATTTCTTTGAAGAACCGTGAACTTAAAACCACCCACAAATTACCTTTCGGGATTGTCACGTGCGCCTTTTCTGACAACCTTTCTCGAAATAGCTGTAAACGATCGCTTACTTTGACTCGACTGGGAAGGTGACCCTCTTTCTCGGAAAACCTTTTCTCCATATAAAAGGGGACTTAAAACAACAACAGCAGCAGCAGCAGCAGTAAGTAAAACAAAAACAGAAGCATGGGGGCACAAGGCAAGTTATTGAACGTGTCGTTTTTAAACTTACTTTGGTGTAGACCCTGGAACATCCTTCCCTTGGACACTCGTACATCTTTCTATCAGAGCTGTGGAGACGGGCGTGCCTTTTCAACTGCAAGTCAAATCAATGAGGAGCATTGTAAGTGTAGAACAAGGAGGATTATTGTAAATCTCCGGCAGTAATTCACTGAATTCAGAACGAGTTATATTACAATGGGAAGAGAGAGATATTCTATAATCTATATACACGCGTGTTGAGAGTCTGAGAGGAAGATGAAGAGGATGGTTTCGGTCCCTCATTCTGTGCATATACTGAGTACATAACTGTGTTCTACACGCAAGGTTTCATTAAATAGTTCCTTTTTGCAAAACACAAAAGTAGCAAAAATCTTCAAGTTCGTTTTCGTTTTAAAAAGCTTGATTACTGTTGACTTTTTTAAATTCATACACTGAGTATTTTTTCCAACATAACCAAACGTTCCCTAGTCTGCTACACAGCCGTTTTTACTGTCGTCACGCAACGAGCAACGCTCCTGGGGAGGAGCGTTGCGTAACGACACTAAAAACGGCTGTGAAACAGACTAAACGTTCCCCAGCATGGAATTGCATCTAGGGTGATTGAATCTAGACCTCCCAGTAACGAAATTTCAACGGCGATTATAATATTATTCAACAAGTCATGAAACTCTAACTAGACTATACATACCTCCCAGGTGCGTGAAAAGGTTTTTTTACAAACCTCACAAACAAAACCTGTAAAATTTAAGACACTTTGATTAATATTATTGGACATTCACTTTCTTCATGAATGGACATTTACTTTCTTCATGAAAAAACAAACAAACAGACAAACAAAAAAAACAGGCTTATTGAATGGATGCCCAGAAAACTATGAAGAGAAAGGTTCGAGTCTGGCAATCGTTACTCAGACAGACTAACAAAGAACAGTATACTACACCGAGAGAAATTAAAGTAATTAATTAATTCCTAATTGTCAATAATCAAACTTCGAATTTTTTAACAACTTTGAAAATTAACGTTTCTCACTCTTGATAATGATGCTCGAAACATTAAAACGTTGAGTAACGTTTTAAGTTTAATTTTTCTTCTCAGCTTTCCTCCAGTATTGACACAATAGTTCTTATAATTAAAATAGATGACATTTATCAACGTTGGTTGGCAGCGCGGCAGCAAGATGGCCGCTAGCATTTTAACCCCGTTGAATCACGAAATTTTTAAAGTTGTATCTACTTAGTTAGAAACCTTTTTTTCCCATCTATTAGGGCAATGTATTAGTTCTACTATTTTTGCCCTTTTTCTCAGATTTAGTTATTTTTAATGAATGAATTATCTGTTTCTATAAACTTGTATAACCTACAGAGAGAAATAAATTGACTACTACCTCAATACATACATAGTGCTACTCAATTTATTCATAGTTTAAATTAGAGTTAAAATTTATGCTCCTTTGTTTAGTAGAAAGAGTGATAATGAGCAATGGTGACAAACAGGTTTTCACCCAGTACTCTGGTTTTCCTCCCTCCTCAAAAATGAACAGTTCCAAATTCCAGTTTTACCAGGAATAGTAGATAAAGAACCACTACCATTTTTATAGTTATTTATTACATATATTTTCATGTATTTATCATCAAACTTTTTCCTACCCATAATCGCTTGAATTATGGCAGGTTATATTTCATATTTGACGGCATAATCAAGATACTGTACTTTATCTCTCTTTAAGGAAAAAGTTCATACAATTCTGTTGAAAATATTTGAAGTTCAGGGTAGATATGCTGACCTAAACACGATAATCTCCGATTTTAAAAAATATTAGCCCCTGCTTATCTAAATAGCTGCCTCGATTTTCTTATCTCAATTTCTCTCGTGACTGACCTTTTTTATTATAAATATGGTACTTTTTCACTTCAACTATTTGTAATAAATCTTAAGCCGTCTACACACCACCTGCCTCGATTAGCCTTGCTATTTGCAGGTGGTGTGATATTTGTATATTTAATGTAAGAAATAAAGATGTTGTTGTGGTTGTTGGTGTTAAATCATCTCCAGGTCAATTAAGCGATCTTTGCCTCCTACAAGATGCATGCTGTTGAATATTTTGTACCTATAGGAATTTTCGTGTGACAGGGATACAGGATGTGGGGGTAATAAAATAAAGTAAGTGGGAAATTAGCAGGGTGTGGGATGGGGAAGAGTTTGAGGCAGGAGAGTTTATGAGCACCAGAACAGAAAATTTCATACCATGACTTCTCACATGTATGGCAAGTTTAGAAAATTTGTCAAAGGTTTCAGCACATCCAGGTACACTGCACACATATCCTGGACAGAATAAAAGAAAAACATTCAGTATTTAACGTACATCAGCGTGCAAAGAAAGTCATGTCCAATAGCCCAGGGCTGGTGGATTTTGCCATTGGGCTAGTGATTTTTGTTCTTAACTTGCCCTACGGGCAAGTGCTGTTTTTTTTTTTTTTTTTTTTTTTTTGGGGGGGGGGGGAAAATTCAAATTACAGAATTGTAATCACAAAGGGTTTTTGGGCTAGTTGAAATGACTTGTAGGCTAGTACATGCTAGCTACAGGTTGCCCGAATGGCAGGCTGTAAAACTGACCTTCTTTGCATCCTGTAAATGGGGATGACATATTGAATACTTCATAGGGAGTATGTGTGTAAGGTATTTACACAGAAGTAGTTGATGTATCACAAATCGAATTAGTGAGCACAGACAGAATATCCTGTTGTTGTGTCATTCTGTCCGCCCTTTTTTCTTTCCAGAGTAGGTAAAGTTAAGGTCTACCGCTAAACATCGTGAAATGACGTGAAAGAAAAGGACATTGCCTTTCAAGAAACAGCCAGACAATCTGATCACACTCACCCTTGTTGTGTATTTTCATATGCCGCCGCAGCCTTGGAGCTGAATCAAAACCACGGTTGCATCCTTCTACTTGGCACCTAGGAATTGTGAAAAACGTAAAAAATAAAGAAAGAAATAAAAAGAGGAGGGAACGATGAATAGTCGATGAATGGAAGAAAGGGCAGAAGGACGAACAGACATATCTCTTATTTACTGACAAGAGGGAACATGTACAGAGGTCAACATCATAGAGAAATCGCATGCCTAAGATGGAGGAATAGAACAGAAAAAGAAAGAGCATAAAACCCCGAAGAAGAGTGTCATAGTTCAAAGTGAAATTTAGGTTAAAATTACAGTCAACTCTGTCTAAAGTCAAATAAAGGGAGTAAAGAAAGGCAAGTGTCCGTTTTATAGAGGTGTCCATTACGAAAGAGTCAACTGTAACTTGTTTTAACCTAGCTTAATACTCAATTCCCCTTTCGACGTTTCCTAAAACTAATAAATTATTCTGGTTCATGAAAATGACTAACTGTCTGCTGGTGGATGTACTGGGAGAATACATCAAAGAACCAAGAGAGAGTCAACTGTAACTGGTTTTAACCTAGGTTAATACTCAATTCCCCTTTCAACTTTCCTAAAACTAATAAATTATTCAGGTTCGTGAAAATGACTGACTGTCTGGTGGATGTACTTGGAGAATACACCAAGGAACTAAGAGAGCAACTCACACCATGGTGCTCAGAAAGACGGCTGCCAGAAGAATGGTCTATGATTGAGATCGCCTCGGGTCTTTGATGATCCAGGCATGAGCTACAGCAATGACTAGAGCTTGTTTCTACTTAAGTTGACTCCTCTTTCTAACTCTGAAGTGCCATCAACCCAAGAATGGACTGAGTGAAAGCAAACGTTCAGTACTTATCAAAGAACTTAATCACGTTACCATCCCATTTACAACTTAGTACTTTTTTATTGATGTTACTTACGTAAATAGACTTTCATTTGTGTGGAGACAGGTATGTTTCTTCAACTGACTGCTCTTCTTAAAAGACTGGTTGCATCCTTCATATCCACACTAAAAAGGTACATGTAACAATTAAAACTACAGTAACTGGTTAAAAAAAAATGTGTTAGGCACCACTCTTGAAAAAGTACACTGTGCAGCATACATGTAAGTCACTTACATGTACAGGTACATGTAACAATTAAAACTACAGTAACTGGTTAAAAAAGTATGTGTTAGGCACCACTCTTGAAAAAGTACACTGTGCAGCATACATGTAAGTCACTTACATGTACAGGTACATGTAACAATTAAAACTACAGTAACTGGTTAAAAAAATATGTGTTAGGCACCACTCTTGAAAAAGTACATTGTGCAGCATACATATAAGTCACTTACAAGACGTAATTTTTTTATCGTGTTTCCTCAGTGCGCTATGAGATTATTGCATATGCTATGGTACTAATACATTTAATGAGGGGAAAAAACTTTAGCTTTAATGCAAGTACCAAACATGACAAATACAGTGTAACTACATGTATGCCTAACAGTCAAGCTAAAACAAAAAGAAACACCTATTTTTGCATTAGACATTGTACAAATCAAATCGCAGATCTCATAAGCCACAGGAAATCTTAATAAAAATTACAACATTACAACAATAATACAGTTAAACAACTGTGTCGCTTAGTTGAGGTGGGTGCCCAGGATGTCCAGGGGCTTCCACCTTTGGCACAGCCAGCCCCTACACAGAGTTACGCCCCCATGGCTGGCAAACCCTCGCCCTCTAGCCATGAGCCCCCATGCTAATGGAACCAGGCACCTGCCACACTGATTAACAGTGAAAGAATAAAGGGGGGAGGAATGGGAGTAAAAGAATGATCAAAAGGCTAAACAAAGAGAATGCCCGCCAGGAAAACACTGTACTGAGCACGTGGAGGTGATGCAAGCAAGGGTGACCGCGTTTGAGCCAAACGACTGACCGCTGAAAACGCCTGTGCTCCTTGTCGTTAACTGTGTTAAATAAATATTTATTTAACTTCATAAAGCTTCTATTCAGAGGACACCCTTGGGACCAAGGTAAATGTCCCCTGAATAGAGGTTGGGCTGGGATCTGTTAATAATACATAATACATGTAATGAACAAATAAACTATTTTTGTATACTGCCTCGAAATCTGCTTGTCATCATTATTTAAGGCAGCTAGATGTATAAAAAAAATTATGATAAATTTGCCTCTACAATATTGCATGTTTACTATTCCTACAACTGCAGTACACTGATTTAAAGTGAGATAGTTCATGTTGTGAAATCTGTCATCATTGTGAGTCACTAGCTAATGTACACTTAGGCTTATCAACCATTTTTTTTTCAGTCACATTTTGAGTGCTTAAGGTGTCCCCTTAATGGAGGTAATAAACCAGGGTTTCGGGGCGCATGAAGTGTCCCTTACCCCTGAATCGAGGTTTTCCTTAAATACAGGTAACAAATACAAAGATCATGTGAACATTTTTTTGGGACCAAATTTTGTTTTCCCTGAATGGAGGTGTCCCTTGAATAGTAAAGCCCAAAGGAAAGTTTATGATACAGCAGGGTTATCACTAATATTTTCAGTTGCCAAGTAGGGGCAATTTTTCCTCTATTTGCCTTTGAAAGTAGCTGGGGGTCACATTCATAGTAGCTGGGGGAAATCCCCAGCCCAGCATGGAAAGAAAGTAGTCTCTGATAACCTGGAGCTAGTGGATTTTGCTATTGGGCTAGTGAATTCTGTTTTTAACTTGCCCAGTAGGCAAGTGATGTTTTTTGAGGAATCTGAATAACAGTAGAACTGTGAAATCAATTCTGCTCATCAAAAAGTTTTTGGGGCTAGTTGAAATGATGTCTGGGCTTAAGTAAATGCTAGTTTCAGCTTGCCCGAATGGCAAGCTGTAAAAATGATTTTCTTTGCACCCTGCCTCTTAATGAGAGCTAATATTGATAATGACAGGATAATGATAATGGTTTAATCATAATGATAATTAACAGGTATTGGACAAGGCTGAGTATGAATTATGGAGATCAGAGGAAGGATGTTTTGGCAGAGGTGAATAACACCCTCCAGGATCTGCATAATTTTTCAAATCAGGTAAAAGCCAAATCCAATAATATTGTTTCATTTTTTATTTAAAAAATCCTGGTTTAAAAACCAGCTAAAATATTATGCTTAAATGTACCTTGATCAATGTTAAGTCCCATCTTCATATGCCTGTTTTACGGCAAGTTCAGGATGTAAAGGGATGTTTAGTCCAGCAGATACATTTGTATTCTTCAAATATAGCAGATGTCATCTGTCAAGTTTTATTCTGCTGTTCTTTGAAGTACTTGCTATGTTTTTAGGCAACAAGTTCTGGAAGTTTCTAAGATTCTGTGTAATTAAACAGTATTCCATTTTTTTGTGAATCTAGTGTTAGTATTCCACAAAACAAAAGTGTTGTACACTGTATGCTAAATCTACATATAATGTACAGTCTCAAGAGATATACCACACACCTTTTTTCCCCAAAATGTGACTTTCTGGAAAATCCCATACAATACCTAGTGTCTTTGCCCTCTATTAGAAGGCCTTCATGCCCATTTTAAAAAATAAAAGGTATAAAAAGTAAAACGTACAGAAGATAGAGATTGTAGTTTTCTTCATTGTATACCACTGAACTTTACTAAACACCATCCTAATGTAATTATAAACTACTGTAACATGTTATTAACAATAATGCGGTGGAACCTCGATATAACAAACTTCTATTATAATAAAGTCCTCGATCGGTATAATGAACTATTTTTTAAACCTCAGGAATAGAAAATTTATAGAAAAGAACCTCAATATAACAAAACCTTGTTATAGCAAAGATATTTTAATTTGTCAGTCCCTTGGTCCTTCATTGCACTGAGGCTCCACTGAATTAGGGATGTTATGATCCAAGGATGGTGACAGCAGCAACAACATCGCTTAAAAAGTGAGTTTGCTTTCTTTTAATTTTCATCACAAATACTCTAACTCACTTTGTCAAATGAAGGTGAACTCTCCTGGAGATGATCTGAGATTTTAAGAACCATATCCAAGTTCAGAAAGAGAAGGGAAATTTCACCAAGGTTTATTTTTTGCCTGCTCCATACATGTAGTACATGTACATGCAAAATTAGACATTTTCACATTGTACTAAAGATTAAGCAACAGCAAAGAATTAAAATGTAAAAAAAGGTGTCCTGCTCGTGCAAAGTTCAGACCTGTCAACCCCTGATAAAGAAAAATCTGGAGACTCATGTAAAAAAAAAAATCTGGACATTGTACAAAAAGTGAGATTTTATTTTTTCCCACTCAAAATTAAACAAACCTTTGTTAATTGGGTGAATTAACTATTACTACAATTATTATATTTGCCGAAAAAACGTGAAATTGGGGTTTTGTTGTAAGGCTCTGAGAAAAGTAAAAAAGGAAACTGTGAGACTCGCAGAAGAATGATGAGACTTGGGAGGTCTCAAATTTGTTTTTTGCTTATTAAGTTACCTCTTAGTTTTTTGACCGTCTTGCTGCCATTGCCGTGGTTGGATCTTAATATCCCTTAACTATTAACATTTAGTAGCATCTTATACCTTGAAAGGCTGATTGTGAGACCTCTGCTCATGTCTTTTCCAGTTTTGCTTCTCAGAAAAGGTTTTTGTACACCCAGGATGGGAGCATCTGGTTATCATACATTTTAAACAAGTAAGACAAACAAAGCAGTCAATAACATTATTAAGTGACATTATTTTTAAATGTAATAAAATAATGCAGAATGACTCCACTGGTGTGAAACTCTTTGTTTTACTTGTAACATAGTATGTTACCTTTCTTTTAATGATCTCCAACATGTATTGTTTTTTTCCTTGCATAATTTATACATTTTAGAACACACATACATGATTTTCTATTTTTTATAATGACGTCTGAGAAAGTCGAAACATTGTCATGTGTTTTTTTAATGTTTTTCAAAATTGCTTTCTTTTATTGCACTTTTTATAGCCAAATGTTTTAAAAAAAAGCACTTATTTTTAATCCTTTTAAGAAAAGTTAACAAAATGCACCATACTTAAATGAACCCTGCTCTCCTGAGTGGATAGCTGCATGACGTTTCAGATGGTATGGCCTGGAGAAACATTTATCACAGCCTTCAAATGTACACTTGTATGGCCTCTGCAAGAAAAGAAAAAAAGTTTGAATAACTACATTTATTTTATTGGACAAAAGTGATAATGAGCCTCTTGATTACACTATTACATGTACAAGAATATTCTGAAACCCTTTACAATAAATTAATAACAATTAAAACAGACATCAAAAACTTTCTTCTTGTTAAAACCGTAGCAATACATAGCACTTTGGAAACATTCCACCAAAGAGCTTTCAATTGTATGGTTATCCCATAGGATTTTATCCACAGATTAAAAAGTTAAAGTCATGTGACAAATAGGCTTTCGAGACATGTAACTGTTGCCTAAAGTAAGCAAGTAAGAAATCTTCATTAATGTGGTCCACTACACTTAGCTCATTACAGTATTGCAAGTATCACTGTTGTACAGGTATTGCCACAAACAAAACAAAAAAAAAGGAAAAAACAAAAACACTACCAAGAACAGAAAAGCCTTGGTTGTCCAAGAGTTTGTTTTGAAAGCTAAAACATGTAGTTTGACAACGCACTGTTGAAAATTTGGCTAGTTCATCGAATAATCATGATAGTAACAGTAATAGTAAAACACTTCTATATAGCACACACATCCAATAGTTGTTTATAGCACTTTACAACAAATTAATAATGATAATATTAATAATCATACCAAACATATAAAAATAAGACAAATAAAAAGAAGGTAATAAAATACTATGGTAGATCTAGTGATTGAATAAAACCACTATAATTATTATTATTACTATCATTATTATGATCATGCTCTTGGATAATAAAGGATAATAATGTAGTCAGTAAATATCTTAGTTACTGGATATAATCCAGAGATTTTTTTAATTACTCCTTTCTTTCCTGTGACTCTTTCTCTGAAGTCAGTGTACCTCGTGTATGGAAACTGGCCGTTGTTCCACCGCTACCCAAAGCGCCAATTGTCTCTGACTTTAACAAAGATCTACGGCCAATCTCACTTACTTCAACCATGTCGAAGATCGCTGAGAGCTTTGTTATCGAGAAGGCTCTGAAGCCCGTGGTGCTATCCCACATTGATCCAGGTCAATTTGGTTTCATCCCGGGCTCTTCCACTACGTTCGCGCTTATCTCTATGTTTCATCATTGGCTGCGCGCCACCGATGGCTCTGGGGCGTCTGTAAGAAC